CAATAGATGAATGGCCAAAGAGTAGTGAAAGACGAAGTCCAATAGCATATTCTTACCTTTCAGTTAAAAGTTTCCTTCTGGGTTTTTTTTGGTTTTGTTTTTTTTTTTTTAAACTACATACCTCTTCCATTCTAAGCTTTTCACCAGTTTATTTCTATCATTAACTCAATTTTCTCTTTAACTTTATAGTTCACTTTTGGAAACAATCCAAAACATTGTGTGGAGGGCAGCGAGGTGGGAGGAACATTTAATGTTTTAAAGGATTACCAGACTTAGGTGCTACACTTTGAGGTGTTGCTTTTCAGCAGTGCCATTGTACCATACTGTCTGCTATTTCTCTAAATGTCATCAACTTGTCAGCTCATAAGCAGGTGTAAACCTTTGTTCCTCCCCAAGTTCTCATGTTCAGTGATGTCAATGGAAGTCTGCAAAGAGTGTTGTGTCAAGAATACTGGGGGTTTTTTGCAGGCAATTTAAAGGTAAACATTTCTCTTCAAAATTAATGTCATTTTGTTGCTACAGCAAAAGAAAGCAACAACACATTTCTAACTGGATTATTAAAAGTCCTGAAAACAGAAGAGGTGCCTGGGAGGCTGCACTCAGAAAGCACTTAAAAGCCCAAAAATCACTGGAATGTGCAAGTAATGGAAGCAAATTATAAAATAAACCAAATAAAAATATCCAGACATGGAGAGATGAGAATTTTATACCAAGCCACACACATCCTAAATTCCCCACTTGATATTTACGTCAAAAGGCAAAAAGTCCTCTGTTTGACTTTTTATAAAACAAACACATATTCTCATAATGCACTGAGATTTACTAAAGAAAAAAATTAAATTCTAGGATTTTTTTTTTAAATCAGTGATGTACAGAAAGCCAGGATAGCAAATAGAATTTCTGTCTTTCCAGGTCTTGTTGGGCATCAACAGGAAAAACAGGTGAATGATTTTAAACCACCAGTGTGTGGGACTGTTGACTTAGTGACTTATCACTTCAAGCAGGGTTATACTATCTGAAATACTAAAAAAAAACCAATAACTTTTAGTATTCTTTAACATTTCTAGCATACATTGTCTCATACAGCAGTGAAATATTAGTTAATTATATGAAATATGAATAACTAAACTTTCAGTGCTGCTGAACTGAATTTAGAATTGAATGCTTCGTTACACTAAGGGATGACAGGAAAAATTGAAAATCATTTGACTGTGTCTTGGATATAAAAAAAACCAAACAAAACCTTAATTAAATTTTTGAAACCAAGTTGTTATTCCAAGAAGAGAAAAATGTTTGCAGATAAAGGGGAAGGAAAAGATCATTTTAACTATTTCAGTGGAAGAGAGATCAGTGTTACAAGTCTGGATTTATTTGCTTTTTAAAAAGACATGAATCTGGAAGCCTTCTAAGGAGATGAGAACTTAATACTGGGTAAGGTATTATAAGAAAAAGTAATAAAGTTCCATGCTACTCCTCTAGAGCTATTCAGTTGGTGAGGTAGCAAGGCAGAGAGTTATGACCTTCAACTTCACTGATTGCTGTTTCCAGTAACTTCAGTCAGGTTGTTCGGCTATTGGTTCTTCAGAAATTAAGTGCAGGAAGAGGAGTAACTAATTTCTGATTATAAGTCTGCAAAATGTTATTTCTGCTGTTGCTACTGCCTTTCATCCTAGCCTGGCAAATGAGGTATCACCTGTCATATTATTTGGATAATAATTTTGTTGCAATCTTGGTTCCTCTACTTGTTGTGCATACTATGATAAAAGTCCATCTCATTCTGAAATTGTATTAAGCATACCTGGAAACAACAAGACTTCAATTTTTTTTTATTTTTTTTTTTTGCTGCTTAAGTAAAATCACATCTGAAAAGACGAAAAATATTTAACACTAAGTAAATGAAAATACACAAAACAGAGAGCATATCTATAATACAAATCTTGAATAAAGGGGCACCGAATAGAGGATTCCTAAAATACAGAGGGATCTCTTTCCCTTCCTCTCTCTTTTCTGTTTTACTTCTTTCACCTCCCCCCAAATGAGTGATTTTTTGCTTTAACTTGACAAGTATTTCACAGTTTCTCAAGCATTTAGCAATGAGGATCTAATTGGAAAGTGCCAGGTTCTTTCTTATTGTACTTTATCAATATTGTTAAGGGAATGATGTAATTGTTTGGGGTTTGGTGAAGACATTCCATGTCACTTCAGTGTTAATACCAGGCTGGAGCCTTCCTTGTCTGCCTGCGTAAGCTAGATAAACATAGACCTGTGTGCTTTCTTCTCATCTCAGGATACTTACTCAGAGAGATCTTGGAACATATGCCTATTGTGAGCTAAACATTTCACTTTTCATTTTTATCCATGTGCCAGAAATCCATTCCTAGGATAAACACTTTACATACTGACACTCTTAAAGTCACTAAACACGATAAATAAAGAGAGAATACATCATTTCAAAACTGATTAAACATTTTCTCACTTGTGACAAATGAACAGCTATACACTGTATGGAGTCCCTGGAGCAGACATTCCATTTTCTTTGTCTTCATCTTCTGTGTAAGATTAACTTTCCATTTCAGCTCATCTATTGCACAACTGAGATTTTTTAAAATACACATTGCTACATTTTCCCCAAATCATTATTCATTTCAGAAACAGTTTTTGTTATTGCTACAAGATCTTTTCTTTTGAATTTTTGTATTTTAATGGAGAAAAACTAACGAAGAAAATACTACTATTACTAAAAAAACATAGTTTTTAATGAAAGCTAAAGAAATGCTCCCATGCAGTAGACCTGAACTTATACATAGACTGAAGTCATCCACCTCAACAAGGAAAATCCAAGCACATTAATCACATTAACTTTGCTCCATCTAATCCATCACTTTTCCTTGCACTACTTGCTTGTCTCGTCATCCAATGCACTGCTGTCTACCTATGATTAGTCAAATGCAACTAATCTTTTATTTAGCTTCTTAAGCTCCTATCATCTTTTCAATCTACTCCTGACAAAAAGGATCCCAAGCATTTTATTTTCAAGCTAAATTAAAAATCTTACTGAAATAATCACACATAATACTAAGACTGTATATGAAGTTGTCTCCATTGTTCTAACAAAAAACACTAATCTGATCAAGAATTTCAGTGGGAAGGTGGAAGGAAGAAAGAAAATATCCTTGCTAGATATTCATGGAAAGGAGGAGCGATGAAGCAGAATTTTGTTCTTTGACAAATTGTGTAAAAGGAGCTGGGGGAAGAAAGAATTAGGGACTAAAGTCAGAAGAAGACCAAGCTGAAGAATCCCCAGAGCAGCTTGCTTTCTTCCCCCATCAGGCTAGTAAAACCAGTATAAAGTTTTTGATATGATGGTTCCAGTCTTGTCGGGGAAAAAGATTAGAAGGGAAAGTGAATTAGATACCAAAAGATAGTGATAAGTCACAAGATTTCTGAACAGATTGAAGATTCCACTGTCATTAGATTTCTGTCACCTTTGGATTTGTATTCAAATCCACTTTTGACAGGACAAATATTTTCCTTAAAAGAGCAATTAGGCATCACAACAATCTCCTAACAGTGCCAACTTCTCTCAAAGTTTTATTGTGGAGGAAAATTTTAAAGATAAGAATTATGTAACCGAGCAGCTAAACAAACCTAAGAAATGTCAGGAATGCCTTTCATATACTTGAGCAAGAGGCATGATACTAAGCCAAAGCAATAATACCCTAATATTATCTCAGCTTGTTAGAGCACTGTGCTAACAGCACCAAGGTTGTGGGTTTGATCCCTCTATGGGCCATTCATTTAGGAGTTGGGCTTGATGATCCCTGCAAGTCCCTTCCAACTCAGAATATTCTGTAATGAAACTTAAAGCAACACAGACCAGTTCAAAGCAGCTGTCTGTGATTCTCTTATACTCCCTTTCCACAACCCTGATGTGCCACTCAAGGACCTACCATCTCCTCACAAGTAAGAAGGGAGGTTCTTGTGGCACTCACTCCTCTTGGCTTCTTTTTCAGGGACTATCCCAAGGTACATGTCCCAAGGAAATAGAGAAAAAATGTACCAGGAAAGACATCAACCACCCTGCGGCATTACTGCAGGGAGCAAATTTGGGTGTTGAGGCCATAGAATGGCTGACAAACCTAGTAAAAACTAGAAACTTTTATAGTGATATCTTTTAGAGGAATCCTATTGAGAGACTTCTTAATTCTGGGAATATAGAGTGGATATATGCATTAGTAGTTATTAAGTGATAGCTGCAGCTAGTACAAAGAGAAAATGCTATTTTCAGTGTAAGAAAAACAAATACAGACTGCGAGTTTCCCTAAATTTGGGCTATAAATGCTGTGCACCATATTTTGATCTCTTGCTGGGACTGATAAAAATCTTTCCCATTTAAACACTGCTGCTAGAGGAGTCTCCAAAAAAATCAGAACAAACCACATGTTGTGCAATGGAGTGAGGTTCCCAGTTTTGAAAACTGTCTCAATTGCACAGAATGAAATTTAATGAGGTATTTTGCTTTCTGCCACAAAAAATGTATTTGAAGATTTATTAGCAATTCTACAAAGGAAGTCACATTTAATTTTACATTTAATTTGTTTATTAAAAAAAGGTTTGGTTTTTTTTTAATAAAATGGATATTTTATAAGTACAAGAAATAGTACCTAATAATACTTGTTTGGGGAATGAGAAATACCTCTCAAATCACCATGATACTGGTGTAGTACAAACAGTGTTTTCTCAGTCCAAATGGTATACTCTGAATTTATTTTTACATAAGGTTAATGCATTTTCTGAAAGACAGGAGTAATGTACAATATTCATTTAAATTGTTTCAATCTTTCTTCATTTTCAAATTAAAATTGACAATAACTAAATATCACTTTTCTGAGTGCATTTCTATACCACTCAAAAACACAGAAATACTGGCTACCAATACATCAACTGCTAAAAACCCCATATTTTACAAAGAAAGGTCTTATGACATTACTCTTTCTTACCTTTTATGTGCTTCTGTCAGTGACTTCTCTTCATTTTCTTGGTCTATTTTGGCTGTAAAATAGAATCAAATAATTAGGAACAAGGTGAAAGATAGAGATGTTTCAGGATAATTTTAATTTTACATATGTCATATGTAAAATATACAGAAACCACCTGAGATATACTCATGTAGATCAATTCTGAGAAAAAAATCAACCAATCAACCCCCCCATTCAACAAACAACCACAAAAACAAAACCACACAAATGTTGATAACCCTATTAAAAAGGAATCCAAAACCACCACTGCAAAAAGAAACCAATCCAAAACTCAAAGCCTTGAAAAGGAAAAAAAAAATTCCCAGTATTCTAAACAACAACCAAAAAATGAAATTGACTTAAAACCAGATCTTAAATAATGATTCCAAAAACTCAAATAATATGGGAACTTGTCTACCAAGAGGAGGAAAAGCTGAGCAAAGAGCAGGAAGGATTCAGCCTTACAGCTTTTGTACAAGTTGTGTGGAAATTACAAATGAAAACTCTTCCCTCTCCCTGCACACACATCCATTAGTGAAGTACTAGAGCTGTAGCAGGCCTGTATTGAAAACATGATTATTTTTATATGAAGGATATTAGCATTTGGTGATCATGTGAAAAAAATTAATATTTTACTTGTATCATTTTATATATAATTAATATTTTAATTGTATTAATAATACAGTAAGAAACTGTCCTTCCCACACAATGGTGAAAAATATTCTCTATTTGCCACATCTTCTCTCATATTTTTTTGCCCACATTTCATTTAATTTAGATGACTGAAAGAACAATTAATAAAAAAATCTACAAGAACGTGCATGTTAACTTAGGCATCAGCAATGTGCAAAGCAATTGTCCATCTGCTCTGAGCATGAGCTTAGGTGAAATTTATACTTATGCAGTCATTCGGGTAATACAACTTAAATCTCATTTAAAGTCTGCATGCTTAAACAGAATGCTCTTTTAATTTGGTACTTGATTCTTTGTTCAGTCTGCTAGACTTCTGGACTGTTAACTTGCAAGGAGAATTATAGTATTCCCAAGAGTCAGAAAGTTTTGAAACATGAAAAGGCTCTGAGCTGTCCTGGTAACAAATGTCAGTGCTATAACATTCATATAGAAATCTAAAAAAGAAGAAACCTTTCAGCTATTTTTTATTCCACTTTCCAGACACAGCTCTACAATATTAACTCATTAAAATTATTTTTCTGCATCATAGATACACTGTCTTTGAAAAATTTCAAATTTGTTGAAAAAAAGCAAAGCAATGGCATAATTAAGATACAAAGATAATCACTGTTTTTCAGTTAAAATGTTTCAATGAACAGTAATTTACAAACATACACTCAAATAGGCATGTGAAATCTGTAGCAAGGAAATACAAATGGAATTCCCTTATACTTTCCCCAGTCACAACAATGATCAGAGCTTTGTCTAGTGCTGCAAATGCTTTTTATTAGTAGCAATGTAGTCTTCTGAGCAGTAGCACTGCTGACTAGTGCCCAGATATTTGCAGCGGGAAACATTATATTTGGTAATCATTACTTGAAGACTTGGGCTCCACCATTGTTATCCTGAAAGTGAAAAAAAAATCCCAGCAAACCACAGAAAACCTGAGGGAGAGATGGGTAAATGTTCTCAAGGAAATTGAAGAGCACCTGAATCCTGAATCATTACAGGTTTCAATACCAAATTGAATCTTGGCCCAGATTCTTCAGAAGGTTTGTGAGGGCTCACAATCCTTCTGAGTGAAGCTGACCCAGAGCTGAGTGAATTTGGGCTGACTTAACAGTTTTTCTTGAAAGCCTTGCATTGCTTTGGATAAGAAACCAGGTGAAATGTGGCAGCTTTTACAGAATTTCATTAATACTTTTCTTTTCCATACTTTATTCCTGAAAATCAAAGTATGACCAGTAAAAACATATAGTTCAAAAGAGAAACTGCACAAACTCTCTGGATGAAACAAGATCAAATACCTCATTCTGCATTAACACAATCACTAAGTATCTGTGGATGCAACTCTTAAATAATTCTATTACTGAAAAATGCAATTTGGACTTGTTTCACTTAATGCTTAGAAATAGAGGCTACCATATTCCATCCTACAACAGTCTTGTACACTGTTGCATATGTTGTATTTTTAGGATATAAATATTTTTATAATTTCCAAGATTGATGGGATGGAATATCATTAGATTTGCCTTGTTTTAGGTACCTTCTTCTTTATTTCAAATATTCTGCACAGATTTACAAACAATTGTTTACCCACCAGTAATGGAGCAAAAATTCCACAATTTATTTCTCAAAAGAGTGTAACCATATTATCCTAAGCTTATCAAAGCATGTCAGAATATCCCCATTTGAGCACAAGTTTCCTTTCAATTAAAAAAAAAGAAAGCTATTGTGGTCCAGAGAAGAAGAAAAACAAAACAAAGCAAAACAAAACCAAGTTATTTCTGGTATCTATACTTTCGACAATAAATAGAGAATTGTTATTACACAATGAAAAGAAACTGTAGAAACCTTGAACGACAGAGATCCATGTAATAAAGAATTTTCTCTGAAGAATTTCCTTGTAGTTTGTTCCAAATGCAATAATATTTTTAATCCTCCCTCATTTTACCAAAAAGATATTACACAGGTGAAAATCTAATTTGCAATGCTTTTGCATTATCATTTTTCTAGACAGAAAAAGTTAAAGATACTATGAAAACAATTCTTCTTCCACAAGTCAACAGGTGGCACCAGTGAAAGAGAAAATATGGTATATGCACTCAGATCTGTCCCTGTCCAAAGAAAATAATCAGATGACTGCTTTTGCACTAGACACAGTAAACATCCAAGAGCTGTGGAAAATGGCTTGCTGAAGATATGCAGTGAAATTTAATTGGCAAGGGAAGAAAACCTCCTGTCATCAAAACAACAGAATTTTTACTATCCTGGGTACCTGGATACAATGGAATAACTATTAGATGTTGAAGCTGGAGATTGTTATAATCTGTACATAGGGAATATTATCATCTGATATTAGTGGTTATATGTACTTTGCTCAGTAATAATCACCCTATTGGTAAACTACTTCCAATTATGTTTTCCTCTTTGACTAGGGGCAGGAAAAATTTAGTTATGATGGATCCAGTTGAATTGTCCCAGAATGCATTATACTTCATCATTTCACTCAATATCATGCATCTATATTATCACTTCCTCCTCCAAAGCAGTTCATCACAGGTATAAAAAGAGGGCATGAAAGGCACTGGTTTGGCTTCTTCATTCTTGGCATATATCCTTTAAGTGCCAAATAGCAGCTAAAAGTTGCCCACTTTGGAGGAACATTCAGGGGAGAAAAGTGCACTTCTCTGTTACAAAGACAACACCTGTAACAGGTGACATGAAAAAAAAATAAATTAGTCGCTATACCCAGTCCACAGTGATCACAACATAGTGATCATCAACAGCCAACACAGAAAAATTAGATAAATCCTGGGATACCATGGCAGCTGACTGTACCTGAGCACTCTCTTCTGCTTCTATAATTACTCTCTATCTTCAAGAAATAAGATTATTTCAAAAATATTATTTGATTTTCTTTGAAAAACATTTAAGAAATGTTGTAGTCATGCAGTATCCATATCTGCTTTAATATAGTTTTCCAATCCATCACCTAATATAGCAGTGACTGCTTGCAAGTTTTCTGATAGATGTAGGAATTTCTGCTTTTGGGTTAGTTTTCTTCCCAAATATTTTATAGGCTCATCATCTTTTCTAACACTCCCAGCTAAGAACTTGATTCTTGACACTAATTGCTGAAGTACATCCAAATAAACTGTTCCAAATCTATTAAAGACTATATAATACCAGGAAATACTAATCCCTCTCTTTTGTGTAATACATTGGTAAGCAAAAGTAGCAGATTTATATGTTGGCCTTCACACACTGTATATATTGTAGGACTTTTCATGCAGCTTTCATAATCCTGAAGGCATATATATTCTGAAAAATCTACTCCAAATTATATAGTTGAAAAATGACCTTAGGTCACATTGAAAAACATGGCCATCTCAAAACTCACAGCAATTTAGAGTCAAAGTGACCCCTAACAGATGAAGCAACCTTATCAACGGTTTACAACATGCACTGATTTAGTTATATTTTCCCTTTTTAGTTTGAAAGCATCTTTAATGCCCTCTTGTTGGATGACATTCCACTGTTTGCCTGCTTTTTCCATTAAGATACCTTCAGATTATTTAAAGTTGGTCTCCTTTTAGAGTGAGGTCTACACTTCCTAAACACTTTATATATTTGGTCAAAATTCAAGTACATTCCTTCCTCCCTACGTCATTGCTTACCAAGTGTGAGGACTGTACTATATCCAAGGCTCTTATATAAATTCTTTTAACTACAGGACATATGTATCTCTTCAAAAATTACTCATATCAGATGTCCTCATTTCTATTCTATCATTTTTTTTTAATTTGCTTAAATTTACTGCTTGGTGTTTTATAATTGGGGCATAAAACTTGATTTCATGCAGTTCAAAATGAGCTTTCAAACAAGATCTCACAAATGAAGTCTAATTAACTGAATTCTCAAATCTTCTGTCCTTATCAGTACATACCCACATTCCAGAATGATACATGTCATTGTTTGTGTGTTTGCTCTTCCCATTCTTTTTTTGATTAGAGTCCTGCAAATGTTCCATATAGACATCTACAAAGGCACATATATGAATAACTATACTAAAGTGACCTATGCATTTATGAAAATGGGATGTATCTCACAAAACTGAATGTGAGAAATAGACACAGGCATTTTAGAAAATGCTGGTCTTCAGAAGAATTGTAAAATTCGTTTTTCTGTAAATAGTATTTTGTTTTCAAGAAGCCTAGAAGATTAAATTAAATTAAATGGGGCTCAAAGGCAAGGCTATAAACCATTGATTGACCACAAAATTGTCCCCTCTAACCTCAGTGGATCATTGTGGACGTTATGCTAACGTCTCTGCAGAAATCAAGCCACACTGTGGATGAG